CCGATTTCATGAAGCATGACCTTGTTGACATTGCAGCACTTGCATACAATGCGAATCATTATCGCCCACAAGCACAAAGCGTTTGTTTTACAATGAGAAAGCACGTCTGCAGCAAGTTCGCGACAGACATCGCGTGCTTCCTACGTCATATGAAACGATCGCATTTCGCGGCATTACGCGCGAATTTTCAAACATGTTCTTCTTTACGAACAGGTGTACATTGGATTAGAAAGAACGCTTGACATGACGATTGTAGTAAGGATGATTCCTTCGTTATCCGTACTGCTTGATTTTTCATTTGTTGCATGATTTCTACGCGAAAAGATACAATAGAACCGTGTGTTTCTCATGCAACTTGTAGAGTGAAAAATGGCGAAAGCTCTTCTTCTGTATCGCTTCTCGGCCTTTTGGCTAAGATCAAGTGTAGTATCTGTTCTTATCAGCTTAATATCTGATATGTCGGGCAATGCCGACTCTTATATAAACTGATTTTTGGATATCGGCCATGGGATTGGAGCTTGCTTCGCCCTGGCCACGGGTTATCTCGGTATTGCACTACCTCCGAGTTCGGCCCATTTCCCTTCGCGAAGGGAAACACATTTACTTTAAACAAAGAAAAAAAACAAACAAAACAGCCAGCAAATCAAATAGCAAAGCGAATTTATTTTGTCTGTAACTAACTAACTAACTAACTAACCGAGAAACGAACCGTTTAACATTTAACTAATTAACTAACATACGTCTCTTTTCGACAGAGTCGGCGAAAGACGAAAAGACGTCGTCGTCGTCGGAAAGGAAGACAATAAAGGCCGTCAGACGGTAAGTTGCAAGTGCAAAAGTAGTGAAAAGTAAAGGGAGGGTGCAACCGTGTCGCACCGAGCGTACGTTCGCGTACAAAGTATGCTCGCCGTGCGTCGTTCGAGCATACTTACCTGACGCGAGAGGCACCTTGATCAGCTAGGAGGTCCTCTCAGGATGAGGCCCTTTCATTGCACTTCGACTGGTTTGACTCCTGCGATTACCCCTAACGTGGGTAACTCGAGCGTATAATTTCTGGTAGTGGGGACCTGCGTTCGCGCTCGTCCCCTTCGTTTCTCACGATGGGAGGAAGAAGCGGAGAAAAAGAACAAATAAAATAGAACACGATATATAAATTCGTTGTTCGTTCGGGGTTAGGTTGCATGCTGCCAAATTTTTTACTGACCTATCCCAAAATGCATAGCGAGATGCAGGAGAAATTTATATCATCTATTAGCAAGAATAAATTACTTGTATTTGACATAAATTACTTGTACTTAACAACGACGTAAACGGCCGGCGTGTGTGTATATTTTGACGGACGGCATATACATTATGAAAATATACAAATTATAATATGTATCGTCGACGTTAACAGTAATGAAATTGCATTGCGAACGTTTTTCTTACTTAGTCGTACGTTTGTTTAGCTTTTTATAGTAATTATTTCTATGTATCACTGACATTTAACGGCTCGTAGTGTAAAATTCGTTCATTGAGCTGCTTGTCTGCCGATTTCATGAAGCATGACCTTGTTGACATTGCAGCACTTGCATACAATGCGAATCATTATCGCCCACAAGCACAAAGCGTTTGTTTTACAATGAGAAAGCACGTCTGCAGCAAGTTCGCGACAGACATCGCGTGCTTCCTACGTCATATGAAACGATCGCATTTCGCGGCATTACGCGCGAATTTTCAAACATGTTCTTCTTTACGAACAGGTGTACATTGGATTAGAAAGAACGCTTGACATGACGATTGTAGTAAAGGATGATTCCTTCGTTATCCGTACTGCTTGATTTTTCATTTGTTGCATGATTTCTACGCGAAAGATACAATAGAACCGTGTGTTTCTCATGCAACTTGTAGAGTGAAAAATGGCGAAAGCTCTTCTTCTGTATCGCTTCTCGGCCTTTTGGCTAAGATCAAGTGTAGTATCTGTTCTTATCAGCTTAATATCTGATATGTCGGGCAATGCCCGACTCTTATATTAAACTGATTTTTGGATATCGGCCATGGGATTGGAGCTTGCTTCGCCCTGGCCACGGGTTGTCTCGGTATTGCACTACCTCCGAGTTCGGCCCATTTCCCTTCGCGGAAGGAAACACATTTACTTTAAACAAAAGAAAAAAAAAACAAACAAAACAGCCAGCAAATCAAATAGCAAAGCGAATTTATTTTGTCTGTAACTAACTAACTAACTAACTAACCGAGAAACGAACCGTTTAACATTTAACTAATTAACTAACATACGTCTCTTTTCGACAGAGTCGGCGAAAGACGAAAAGACGTCGTCGTCGTCGGAAAGGAAGACAATAAAGGCCGTCAGACGGTAAGTTGCAAGTGCAAAAAAGTAGTGAAAAAGTAAAGGGAGGGGGTGCAACCGTGTCGCACCGAGCGTACGTTCGCGTACAAAGTATGCTCGCCGTGCGTCGTTCGAGCATACTTACCTGACGCGAGAGGCACCTTGATCAGCTAGGAGGTCCTCTCAGGATGAGGCCCTTTCATTGCACTTCGACTGGGTTGACTCCTGCGATTACCCCTAACGTGGGTAACTCGAGCGTATAATTTCTGGTAGTGGGGACCTGCGTTCGCGCTCGTCCCCTTCGTTTCTCACGATGGGAGGAAGAAGCGGAGAAAAAGAACAAATAAAATAGAACACGATATATAAATTCGTTGTTCGTTCGGGGTTAGGTTGCATGCTGCCAAATTTTTTACTGACCTATCCCAAAATGCATAGCGAGATGCAGGAGAAATTTATATCATCTATTAGCAAGAATAAATTACTTGTATTTGACATAAATTACTTGTACTTAACAACGACGTAAACGGCCGGCGTGTGTGTATATTTTGACGGACGGCATATACATTATGAAAATATACAAATTATAATATGTATCGTCGACGTTAACAGTAATGAAATTGCATTGCGAACGTTTTTCTTACTTAGTCGTACGTTTGTTTAGCTTTTTTATAGTAATTATTTCTATGTATCACTGACATTTAACGGCTCGTAGTGTAAAATTCGTTCATTGAGCTGCTTGTCTGCCGATTTCATGAAGCATGACCTTGTTGACATTGCAGCACTTGCATACAATGCGAATCATTATCGCCCACAAGCACAAAGCGTTTGTTTTACAATGAGAAAGCACGTCTGCAGCAAGTTCGCGACAGACATCGCGTGCTTCCTACGTCATATGAAACGATCGCATTTCGCGGCATTACGCGCGAATTTTCAAACATGTTCTTCTTTACGAACAGGTGTACATTGGATTAGAAAGAACGCTTGACATGACGATTGTAGTAAAGGATGATTCCTTCGTTATCCGTACTGCTTGATTTTTCATTTGTTGCATGATTTCTACGCGAAAAGATACAATAGAACCGTGTGTTTCTCATGCAACTTGTAGAGTGAAAAATGGCGAAAGCTCTTCTTCTGTATCGCTTCTCGGCCTTTTGGCTAAGATCAAGTGTAGTATCTGTTCTTATCAGCTTAATATCTGATATGTCGGGCAATGCCCGACTCTTATATTAAACTGATTTTGGATATCGGCCATGGGATTGGAGCTTGCTTCGCCCTGGCCACGGGTTGTCTCGGTATTGCACTACCTCCGAGTTCGGCCCATTTCCCTTCGCGGAAGGAAACACATTTACTTTAAACAAAAGAAAAAAAAAACAAACAAAACAGCCAGCAAATCAAATAGCAAAGCGAATTTATTTTGTCTGTAACTAACTAACTAACTAACTAACCGAGAAACGAACCGTTTAACATTTAACTAATTAATAACATACGTCTCTTTTCGACAGAGTCGGCGAAAGACGAAAAGACGTCGTCGTCGTCGGAAAGGAAGACAATAAAGGCCGTCAGACGGTAAGTTGCAAGTGCAAAAAGTAGTGAAAAAGTAAAGGGAGGGGGTGCAACCGTGTCGCACCGAGCGTACGTTCGCGTACAAAGTATGCTCGCCGTGCGTCGTTCGAGCATACTTACCTGACGCGAGAGGCACCTTGATCAGCTAGGAGGTCCTCTCAGGATGAGGCCCTTTCATTGCACTTCGACTGGGTTGACTCCTGCGATTACCCCTAACGTGGGTAACTCGAGCGTATAATTTCTGGTAGTGGGGACCTGCGTTCGCGCTCGTCCCCTTCGTTTCTCACGATGGGAGGAAGAAGCGGAGAAAAAGAACAAATAAAATAGAACACGATATATAAATTCGTTGTTCGTTCGGGGTTAGGTTGCATGCTGCCAAATTTTTTACTGACCTATCCCAAAATGCATAGCGAGATGCAGGAGAAATTTATATCATCTATTAGCAAGAATAAATTACTTGTATTTGACATAAATTACTTGTACTTAACAACGACGTAAACGGCCGGCGTGTGTGTATATTTTGACGGACGGCATATACATTATGAAAATATACAAATTATAATATGTATCGTCGACGTTAACAGTAATGAAATTGCATTGCGAACGTTTTTCTTACTTAGTCGTACGTTTGTTTAGCTTTTATAGTAATTATTTCTATGTATCACTGACATTTAACGGCTCGTAGTGTAAAATTCGTTCATTGAGCTGCTTGTCTGCCGATTTCATGAAGCATGACCTTGTTGACATTGCAGCACTTGCATACAATGCGAATCATTATCGCCCACAAGCACAAAGCGTTTGTTTTACAATGAGAAAGCACGTCTGCAGCAAGTTCGCGACAGACATCGCGTGCTTCCTACGTCATATGAAACGATCGCATTTCGCGGCATTACGCGCGAATTTTCAAACATGTTCTTCTTTACGAACAGGTGTACATTGGATTAGAAAGAACGCTTGACATGACGATTGTAGTAAAGGATGATTCCTTCGTTATCCGTACTGCTTGATTTTTTTCATTTGTTGCATGATTTCTACGCGAAAAGATACAATAGAACCGTGTGTTTCTCATGCAACTTGTAGAGTGAAAAAATGGCGAAAGCTCTTCTTCTGTATCGCTTCTCGGCCTTTTGGCTAAGATCAAGTGTAGCTTACATGACGTTTCCGGCGGAGCTCTCCGAAATTTTGATCTCCTTCCTTCAAAATTGTTCATCTGCCTTACTTTATGGTATAATCTTGTAGCTAAAAGTCTAGCGATCATTTCAAGAATATATTGGTCGAAATTGGTCTATTTTTCGCCGAGAAATCAACGTTTATAAATTGGTACGATCGGCGGTTGTTTTGTTTACCACGTGCTCGCGTTCGTTTGGTAATTTTTGTTGTTAAATTCATCGTGGATAAACTATAATTGGTATCTACGTGTCTCAGACAATCTCCTCTACATTTCTATAAGATTTTTGGAGTCGATTTGTATACATTTTTTCAAATATTTGCGAAAATCGTCGATCCGAAAATCAAAGCGATGGTGCTTCCACTTCGTGACGGAATACTTCCAACGCCCAAATCAAGTAAAATCAATTCTAAAGATTCTACGAGCTTTATTTCGCCTTCTACTTATCCTTTACCATATGAAGCTGTCCAAATTATCAACTCCTTCAACATTAGTGAGCAACCTAAATGGAACATTTCAGTTGGAACTAAAAACATCAAGTTAAAAATGGAATGGCTTACAATAAACAATCATATGGACAAATCTACAACCTTCAACTTTCCTACAACTGTTCTTCACTCAATATCATTATTCAATCTCGATAAACCAACTTGGTCTTCATCCTTCAATGGCCAGTCCTCCTAAACTGTGGTGGAAAATTATAAACAACAATTCATCTCCATCTCAATTTAATACTCCACCACAATCAGCTGCTACCTTATATAACTCTCCAGACTCTGGATATCATACTGGTTCACCTCCTACAAATTACTCACCCAATACAGCATCAATCACACCTACAAAACTAAATTTTTCACCTACAAAGAGAAAGAAAAATGATATTTTCATCCCTAAAACTCCCAAATCTTCAAAATCTCCCCCCAAAACCCCTCACCAACCTATTCCCCCCTCCCAAAAGCAATCCAACCTTCCTATCATTAAACCACCCATCCCGTCAACAACCAAAAAAGCACAAACCCCCCCTCCCATTCCTACTCCCTCTACCCCTAAAATCCCTCCCAATCCCTCTACCAACAAACCCCAACCCACCCACACTACAATTCCCTCAACTTCCAAACCACCCCCACTTACCTCCAGCCTTACCCATACAAACCTTCTTCTTCAACTATCGTTGTCATTAATCCTGATGCTCCAATTACCAACCAGGACTACGACCCAATGCGTGACTTTGTGCCAAAGTATAACAAATTTGCACAACCTCCAAGATCCATTAAAATATATGACGATGGATCCCTTGATGACAGCATCCGAGCAGAATTCATGAATATCAATGGTCGATGCCGCCTCTGCAATGAAGAAATACCATCATACCTTGCCATGGCTCATGTATATCAATGTCGCGAATTTGATGACGAAAGAATTAAAGATTTTTGCCAAAAATATGCCTTGAAGCTGAACACTGGCGAACATACCATATATAATTATATAATATTGCATGCCAGTTATCTTTTTCAAGACAATTTAATTCCGAATGACATTATAAAAGACATTAGTACTTACCGTAGTTTTACCAGTGATATTGACAATCTAGCTGAAACAATTCTTCCTTCTTTCCTAACCAAATGTGGTTATTCTCCATCAATTACTATAAAAAGTATTAGGGATCATGGCTATCCTGATGCTCCAGCACTCAAAATTCTCTCTTTCAATCATTTAAAACTTAACTTACCTTTCTTTTCCCATCTTTGTGCATAAAAGCCACACCTCCTATTTTCTATGGTTTCTCTATTATCATATATACAATATTTACATCTATATGTACAATATTTACAATTATCTTTATTACCTATGTTATTACTAATATATAATATTATGTAACTATCCTTATTCTTTGTTAATCTTTCAAATGAAATAAAAGTTAATTTCTGTTCTTATCAGCTTAATATCTGATATGTCGGGCAATGCCCGACTCTTATATTAAACTGATTTTTGGATATCGGCCATGGGATTGGAGCTTGCTTCGCCCTGGCCACGGGTTGTCTCGGTATTGCACTACCTCCGAGTTCGGCCCATTTCCCTTCGCGGAAGGGAAACACATTTACTTTAAACAAAAAAAAAACAAACAAAACAGCCAGCAAATCAAATAGCAAAGCGAATTTATTTTGTCTGTAACTAACTAACTAACTAACTAACCGAGAAACGAACCGTTTAACATTTAACTAATTAACTAACATACGTCTCTTTTCGACAGAGTCGGCGAAAGACGAAAAGACGTCGTCGTCGGAAAGGAAGACAATAAAGGCCGTCAGACGGTAAGTTGCAAGTGCAAAAGTAGTGAAAAGTAAAGGGAGGGGGTGCAACCGTGTCGCACCGAGCGTACGTTCGCGTACAAAGTATGCTCGCCGTGCGTCGTTCGAGCATACTTACCTGACGCGAGAGGCACCTTGATCAGCTAGGAGGTCCTCTCAGGATGAGGCCCTTTCATTGCACTTCGACTGGGTTGACTCCTGCGATTACCCCTAACGTGGGTAACTCGAGCGTATAATTTCTGGTAGTGGGGACCTGCGTTCGCGCTCGTCCCCTTCGTTTCTCACGATGGGAGGAAGAAGCGGAGAAAAAGAACAAATAAAATAGAACACGATATATAAATTCGTTGTTCGTTCGGGGTTAGGTTGCATGCTGCCAAATTTTTTACTGACCTATCCCAAAATGCATAGCGAGATGCAGGAGAAATTTATATCATCTATTAGCAAGAATAAATTACTTGTATTTGACATAAATTACTTGTACTTAACAACGACGTAAACGGCCGGCGTGTGTGTATATTTTGACGGACGGCATATACATTATGAAAATATACAAATTATAATATGTATCGTCGACGTTAACAGTAATGAAATTGCATTGCGAACGTTTTTCTTACTTAGTCGTACGTTTGTTTAGCTTTTTATAGTAATTATTTCTATGTATCACTGACATTTAACGGCTCGTAGTGTAAAATTCGTTCATTGAGCTGCTTGTCTGCCGATTTCATGAAGCATGACCTTGTTGACATTGCAGCACTTGCATACAATGCGAATCATTATCGCCCACAAGCACAAAGCGTTTGTTTTACAATGAGAAAGCACGTCTGCAGCAAGTTCGCGACAGACATCGCGTGCTTCCTACGTCATATGAAACGATCGCATTTCGCGGCATTACGCGCGAATTTTCAAACATGTTCTTCTTTACGAACAGGTGTACATTGGATTAGAAAGAACGCTTGACATGACGATTGTAGTAAAGGATGATTCCTTCGTTATCCGTACTGCTTGATTTTTTTCATTTGTTGCATGATTTCTACGCGAAAAGATACAATAGAACCGTGTGTTTCTCATGCAACTTGTAGAGTGAAAATGGCGAAAGCTCTTCTTCTGTATCGCTTCTCGGCCTTTGGCTAAGATCAAGTGTAGTATCTGTTCTTATCAGCTTAATATCTGATATGTCGGGCAATGCCCGACTCTTATATTAAACTGATTTTGGATATCGGCCATGGATTGAGCTTGCTTCGCCCTGGCCACGGGTTGTCTCGGTATTGCACTACCTCCGAGTTCGGCCCATTTCCTTCGCGGAAGGGAAACACATTTACTTTAAACAAACGAAAAAACAAACAAAACAGCCAGCAAATCAAATAGCAAAGCGAATTTATTTTGTCTGTAACTAACTAACTAACTAACTAACCGAGAAACGAACTGTTTAACATTTAACTAAATAACATACGTCTCTTTTCGACAGAGTCGGCGAAAGACGAAAAGACGTCGTCGCCGTCGGAAAGGAAGACAATAAAGGCCGTCAGACGGTACGCTGCAAGTGCAAAAGTAGTGAAAAGTAAAGGAGGGGTGCAACCGTGTCGCACAGAGCGTACGTTCGCGTACAAAGTATGCTCGCCGTGCGTCGTTCGAGCATACTTACCTGACGCGAGAGGCACCTTGATCAGCTAGGAGGTCCTCTCAGGATGAGGCCCTTTCATTGCACTTCGACTGGGTTGACTCCTGCGATTACCCCTAACGTGGGTAACTCGAGCGTATAATTTCTGGTAGTGGGGACCTGCGTTCGCGCTCGTCCCTTCGTTTCTCACGATGGGAGGAAGAAGCGGAGAAAAAGAACAAATAAAATAGAACACGATATATAAATTCGTTGTTCGTTCGGGGTTAGGTTGCATGCTGCCAAATTTTTTACTGACCTATCCCAAAATGCATAGCGAGATGCAGGAGAAATTTATATCAGCTATTAGCAAGAATAAATTACTTGTATTTGACATAAATTACTTGTACTTAACAACGACGTAAACGGCCGGCGTGTGTATATTTTGACGGACGGCATATACATTATGAAAGTATACAAATTATAATATGTATCGTCGACGTTAACAGTAATGATATTGCATTGCGAACGTTTTTCTTACTTAGTCGTACGTTTGTTTAGCTTTTATAGTAATTATTTCTATGTATCACTGACATTTAACGGCTCGTAGTGTAAAATTCGTTCATTGAGCTGCTTGTCTGCCGATTTCATGAAGCATGACCTTGTTGACATTGCAGCACTTGCATACAATGCGAATCATTATCGCCCACAAGCACAAAGCGTTTGTTTTACAATGAGAAAGCACGTCTGCAGCAAGTTCGCGACAGACATCGCGTGCTTCCTACGTCATATGAAACGATCGCATTTCGCGGCATTACGCGCGAATTTTCAAACATGTTCTTCTTTACGAACAGGTGTACATTGGATTAGAAAGAACGCTTGACATGACGATTGTAGTAAAGGATGATTCCTTCGTTATCCGTACTGCTTGATTTTTTTCATTTGTTGCATGATTTCTACGCGAAAAGATACAATAGAACCGTGTGTTTCTCATGCAACTTGTAGAGTGAAAATGGCGAAAGCTCTTCTTCTGTATCGCTTCTCGGCCTTTTGGCTAAGATCAAGTGTAGTATCTGTTCTTATCAGCTTAATATCTGATATGTCGGGCAATGCCCGACTCTTATATTAAACTGATTTTGATATCGGCCATGGATTGAGCTTGCTTCGCCCTGGCCACGGGTTGTCTCGGTATTGCACTACCTCCGAGTTCGGCCCATTTCCTTCGCGGAAGGGAAACACATTTACTTTAAACAAACGAAAAACAAACAAAACAGCCAGCAAATCAAATAGCTAAGCGAATTTATTTTGTCTGTAACTAACTAACCGAGAAACGAACTGTTTAACATTTAACTAAATAACATACGTCTCTTTTCGACAGAGTCGGCGAAAGACGAAAAGACGTCGTCGCCGTCGGAAAGGAAGACAATAAAGGCCGTCAGACGGTACGTTGCAAGTGCAAAAGTAGTGAAAAGTAAAGGGAGGGGTGCAACCGTGTCGCACAGAGCGTACGTTCGCGTACAAAGTATGCTCGCCGTGCGTCGTTCGAGCATACTTACCTGACGCGAGAGGCACCTTGATCAGCTAGGAGGTCCTCTCAGGATGAGGCCCTTTCATTGCACTTCGACTGGTTGACTCCTGCGATTACCCCTAACGTGGGTAACTCGAGCGTATAATTTCTGGTAGTGGGGACCTGCGTTCGCGCTCGTCCCCTTCGTTTCTCACGATGGGAGGAAGAAGCGGAGAAAAAGAACAAATAAAATAGAACACGATATA